ACACTTAGGTGCAAGATTATGCCAAAATTCCATGTTTTCCGTCCCATTTTTGCTCATTTCTCGGAGGCTAAATGAGCAAGAACGCTCATTTGTACATCATTCTAGACAGAAATAAATGGCCTTTTTTGAAAGTGAACTATAGATGGGGAAATGTTGGCAGTTTTCTCAAAAAAGGCTTGAATTCAAGAAGTTTTAGTTTTGCGTGGTTTTTTTTGAGTTGCAAAATCCACTTAGAGCCATAGATAAAGACAAGCTTAGAGCCACAGAATTCGTTTTGGCATCGTTGGATAGAGATTGAATGGGGGGGGGGTCATGACCCCCATGACCCCCCCCTTCCCTATAGGCCGCACTTTGATTGGCCATGACAAGCTTTGCTAATACTTCCACAGATCATAAATAGACGCGCGCCACAGATTACCAAACTCTTGTCGACGTTTACGGCTGACAGAATTCTTGCCCTTGGGCATATGGTGAAATGCTCGGATTTTAACGGCTCGTGGTAAGCGCCATCTGAACAAGCCTCATGTAATTATCTAAGGCCAGTCCACAGAACATTCCCCCATATAGGGGGGATATTTTGTGGGCCAGTCAGCTGATGTGACAGCGGTAACACTTTGCACGTTCAGGTGTTAACCTTGCCCACAAACTACATACTACATTGTTGCTTGAAGACGTGCGAATAGAGTGTGAAACCAAAACGTTCGATCGACCAAGGAGGAAATGGCCGCTAAACTTGAGCCCGAAGAGCTGCACTCAGCAGCCAGTTCAGACAAGTAAGAATTCACCTGTTTGGGGCCCGATTTTCAATCAATTCTAGCAAGCACACGCCTCAAGAGGGCTAAAAATAGCCAAGGCGCACATCTAATGCATTCTGCGAATTACCGGCACTTGTGCCGCAATCCAAACCATCTAAACTGAGCAATTATTTACAATTTCAGCGATCTGTTGGACTATAAGGACTATTCGGAAGTGTGTCGCGACTTGGAGGACTTGGAGGAGACCAGCGGCGACTTCTACAACACTCCAGCCTCTCCCATCACTGTCCCGTATTGTCCGCGCCCGCGTTCCACAGGTACTCAAAAGCCCAATTACCTCATTAAAGCACTATCTAAAGCGTTCCCTTAAGGCTCACGAAGGTCGCCTAGAGGAAGACGGCCCCGAACAACCTCACTGAATCAGGCCACCACCACCCTGACGAAAACCGACGTAATGATCAGGTATTTGGGGAGTATTTGAGCCTGTAAATTAAATCGTAAAGGCTTCTTTATATAAAAAATGGCCCCTTGCAGAACACCGCAACGAACCATCTACACTGCGGGTAGGCCTCCGTGGTACAACAGCGAAGGGCAGAAGGTGGAGCCTTTTGTTATCGGTAAGTCTACTGGGGGGAAAATTTATCGAACGTTGTCCAGATAAAAAAAATTAGGAATATGCGGCGGAAGCGCGTCGGGTAAGACAACGGTGGCGGAGAAGATTATCGAGTACTTGGGGGTGCCTTGGGTGACGCTCTTGAGCATGGACTCCTTTTACAAGGTGCTGACCGAGAAGCAGCACGAGATCGCCGAAATTAACGAGTACAATTTCGATCACCCCGATGCCTTCGACTGGGACCTGCTGGCCACCACTTTGCAACGACTGAAGGAGGGACGCAAGGTCGAGGTTCCCATCTATAACTTCCTGACGCACTCAAGAGAGAACCGCACGGTGAGCTTAATCGTTTCTTCATCGCGCAACTTTTGAGTAGCCAACTAATGTCCAGAAAACCATGTATGGGGCCAATGTGATCATTTTCGAGGGCATTTTGACGTTCCACAACGCCAAGGTGCGCGACATGTTGAATCTGAAGATTTTCGTGGACACGGACGCGGACGTGCGATTGGCCAGGCGACTGAAACGGGACATTACGCAGCGCGGTCGCGACTTGGAGGGCGTTTTGAAGCAATACACCAGCATGGTGCAGGTAACGCGATCCAAAAGCCGCCAACTTGAAGTTCTGCAGTTGATGATGATTTTCAGCCCTCGTTCAACCACTACATTGCGCCCCTAAAGACCCACGCCGATATCATTGTGCCGAGAGGTGGCGAGAATGAAGTGGCCATTCAGCTGATAGTGCAGCACATCCACACCCAACTGCAGCTGGTAGGGTGGTCGAAATTCCGAAGCTCATTAGTAAACTTGGGGGTTTTAGAGAGGCTTTAAGCTGCGGGAGGAGCTGGCGCAAGCCCATGCGATGAACAGCGGACCGCGACCCCCCACAGTAAAACTCCTGCCCACTACGCCCCAAATCAGGGGCCTGCACACGTTCATCCGAAACAAGGACACGCCCAGGGATGAGTTCATCTTCTACAGCAACCGGCTGATCCGTCTGGTCATCGAGTACACCTTGAGCCTGATGACTTTCAACGACAAAGTGATTGAAACTCCACAGACTGTTCTGTACCACGGTAGAGTTTCCCCAGATTCCCATCCAGATTTCGCCTAATCCGGCTGATTTGCAGGCAAGCAAATGTCGACGAAGAACATCTGCGGAGTGTCGATATTGAGGGCGGGCGAGACTATGGAACAGGCGGTTTGCGATGTCTGCAAAGACATCCGCATTGGAAAGATCCTGATCCAGACCAACCTGCAAACTGGCGAGCCTGAAGTATACTGCACTTAGAATTCGCCTTTCGTTAATGATTGCAACCAGGCAATTTTCAGCTGTATTATCTGAGACTGCCCAAAGACATCAAAGACTACAAAGTGATCCTCATGGATGCCACAGTGGCCACGGGGGCGGCTGCGATGATGGCGATTCGCGTGCTTTTGGATCACGACGTGGCCGAAAGCAACATTCTACTGGTAAGCGAATAGCGGCTTCTATGCGCTCGTGGGTAATACTGTGCGTTTTTGAACAGGTTTCGCTTTTAATGGCCGAGTCAGGAGTGCGGTCCATTGCGTACGCTTTTCCCAAAATCCAGATCGTCACAACTGCAATCGACCCGGAAATCAACGACAAATTCTACGTGTTGCCTGGAATAGGCAACTTTGGCGACCGGTACTTTGGCACCGAGCCGGGCGATCGCTGCTAATCGGGGCCCGGATTTAATGTGATCTTATTTAGCCGTATGTTTGTTCGTTCATTTGTCCTAGTAGCATAGAGTACTTAATTAGGAAATGGCTGTTTTTGCTTAAGAAATAAAGTTTTCTTTAATACAAGCACGCGCCGCATCTATGATACGAAAAAAAGAAAAAAATCACTTACTCAACACGACAACTATTCCAGTTTGCGCCCCTCTTCTAAGTAATGGGGCCGTTTAGGGCTGCGGTTTTTAACTATTTGAATACGTCAAGAGACGCTTAAATGCTGTCAGCACCGTCAACATTCTGGCGCCGCTGACACTTCAAAGCAGTAGCAGCAACATCCTGCAGACATTCTCATTTTATTAAATAGCCCGTCATTGAATTTCAAGTCAAAGGCTAAGATTGTTTCTGACTGTAAATAGTATGTAGTCTGTGCTTCTGACTATTAATAAAGTCTTCGGCATCAGTCCAGGGCACCCTCAGGGTGCCTTTTCGGGAGCATGTTGGCTAACCTGATTTGGAGGAACGTGCTATCAGTGCTAGGTACGAAGTCACCTGGCAACACTGTAATCGATGAATGTTGGCGTTCTGTCGGTTCTACATTTCGTGAAATTTTCGCGTCGCCTTGCGTTCGTTTTTGGCGGATTCTTCGCGCTTTTGTCGATTATTCCTGTTTACATTCGCTTAAGCCAAACGTACAGAGTGCAGGTGCCCCAATAATGGCCATGAATTCCTCACAAGTGAAGGCCCAGCATTTGCAACAACAGAATAACATGGCCGGCCCTGGCGGTACCGGGTGGCCGAGACGCAACTCCCAGAACTCGACTCCGACCACAACAGTGGCTGAACCACAGTTTCCTACCACAACAGGTGCCATCAATCGAATAATCAAGCTGTAAGTAAAGGGGCCACAGTGGGGTTAGGAAAGGTGGGCTGATTCGAGGCCTGGTGTTGTAGATACCCGCTGACCAACTACATCTTCGGCACCAAAGAGCCCCTTTTCGAGCGGGACCCCTCAGTGCCGGCCCGTTTCCAGCGAATGCGCGACGAGTTTGAGAAGATCGGGATGAGACGCAGTGTGGAGGGTGTTTTATTGGTGCATGAACATGGTTTACCTCATGTTTTGCTGCTACAGCTCGGCACCACGTTCTTCAAACTGCCGGGAGGCGAATTGAACCCAGGCGAGGACGAGGTTGAGGGCCTCAAGCGCCTACTGACTGAGGTGAGTACTTAGTGTATAATTTTCAGGTGGATTATCCCCTGCCCCAAGTGCCAGGGGAGCCCTGCATATTGTTCTACCCGTAGATGTTGTTATAAGGTTACTGTTAGTACAGTAAACCGGAGTTATTTTTTGTATAAACTGACAGCTCTAAAGCGTCAAGCTACACAGTATTGTATGACGTCACCCGAGAGGTTTTTTGTCATTTCCTAATCACTTTTGAAACCAAAAAACCGGAAAGCTAAGTGCTTGGTGTTTGCTAAATTCAAACATGCGAACTTTGTATTTATATGCCGGTGTTCAGATCGTTTATGTGCGGCCGAGGTTCTCAATTTTTTTACTTTAACTAATTGCTCTTACAATTAAGCAGTTGGAGAAACAAACTCTACTGCAATTATGTTTTTGGCAAACTTTGGAAAGCTACTTTGAGGCCTCCGATTAGTTATTTGTGTGAATTGTTTGCTATTTTGTACGGTATTTTTTCAGTTAAATATCTATTGAACTTATAGAAGTCCAGTATTTTTTTCTGTGAAACTGCTTAATATCAAGTGTAGTTTAAGTTAAAAAAATACAAAATTTGAAAATCGGCCGAGCATAAACATGCTCACCTTTTTGCAGCTTAGACTGGCCCTGTCGGTCCAATGTTACTTACTATATTATTATTAAGCAGTTATGCCGGCAAGTTGTGTTTTAAAATAAGGGATTTTGGGTGGAAACTGTCTGGAAAACTATTAATTCGATGTAACAACTTACCTTACTAGATTTTATAGTTTTTTTGATTAAACTATTTTATTTTTCTGTTAGAGATTAAGGGCATTTGAACTGATTGAAATAAGAATACATGGTGCTTGGTCTCATTGGGCCAAATTTGCTGTTCATAAACTGTTTGGCCAAATTTGTAAACTTCCTCCGTACATCATGCTAACAATTATAGTATATTTTTTGTCCGGCTGATACTGTAAAAGTACACTAAAGCGCTGTATGTTAAGAGCCCTGATCAGCCATTCGGACACTGTAATAATAAAATTATTGTATTAGCGCGTTTTAAAGCTTTGGACTGATCTTGTCTGTCTTGTACAATAATTTAGACGATAAGAAATTAAACTTGGGCTGTATTTGCTGGGGTTTTAACCATTTTTTTAATAGACTCCCTGTATTGTAGAGGCGATGGAAATGGGCAATTTGTTCTTTTGTAAGTCGCAAATGCTTGCAAACCCATTGACATTTTACAAAGATAATTTTTGTGATTTCTGGTATCAGAAAAGTTTGTTCAAATTGACTGTTAGATTCCAGTTTTGTTTAGCTCAAATTCACCCTTTTGAATCTGGTACTGTGCCCTAATAAATGCGTTCCTGAACTATTGCTATTGACAAGACCATTTTTCTAGAATTACTGAACTCTTTTGTACAATTGACTGTTTCCATGCGCATTATTATTAAAGAAAGGATTTTTGAAGCAAATTTCGCTTTTTAGGCACAAAAATGTGATTCACAAGGTCAATTTTTAAATTTTTAGTATTTTTTTCGTTTGTCTTAAAAACAGTGAAAATACCAAAACCCGACTAGTCAACACTCGAACAAAAGCCGATTATTTTTGTCCAATCTGGCCTAACTCACGCGTTTTTCTTACTGTTATTAGTAAACTTCCCTCGTATCTCGGGCCGGTGGGACAAGGATGGGACGGTTTTTAAAGCGCGCGTCTTGTTGCGCTCTCTTTCAAGCACCGGGCCGGCTAGATAGGCATTTGTCATGTGTGTTACCGGGTGTAATCGGAAATTGGCGAATCAGTGTCCCTTGTGTAAGAGCGGGGATTTTTGATCAAAAGCGACAATGTAAAACCAGTGTTTAGTTTAGCCCTAATAGAAGCAGCATGTAAACAGTAAAAATTGACGGTTCCGCACATTTTCTATGGCATGTTACAGACCCTCGGTCGACTAGATGGCGTTAAACAAGAATGGCACGTCGAGGATATTATTGGAAATTGGTGGAGGCCGAATTTCGAACCGCCTCAATATCCTTATATACCTTCGCATATCACCAAACCGAAGGAACACAAACGGCTTTTTTTGGTCCAACTCCAAGACACGGGTATTGTATTTTTGACATTCTGTAGTAACTTTGTATATGATTTGTTTATTTGTGAATCGACGAACGAAGACTGTATTAATCATTATTTATTTAATTAGTTTTTGGGTTTTTTTTCTGAATGGGCTCGGTTGCGATTGGTCAACTGTATTAATGCCGCAACCAAGCGCATTCAATTCAATGGGGAAAAATCGTTCTAAAACACTTTTGTGCGTAGATTTAAAATGAACATGTTAATCTTAGATAGGATTTCACTCTTGTGTATTATAAATCAGATTTTTTCACTAACTGAGTGGAAAATACAGGGTGTTTCTAGATGTTTGCTACTCAGATTGGCGCGGTATTTAATGGCCTAGAAGCACTCTGCCAAATTTGAATCGTTCAAGGTTGTATTATAGTGTAACAACATGTTCCTTGGAAATAAATCGTCTGTTCTAGTGTAGACTTTTCTCTGTATATTGTAAATATTGTTCCATTACAGGGATTTTGAGCGGATTATTTGCAGCAAAAAAGCCGCCCCCAGCCAGCAAAGCTCGGTTAAAGTGGGGCTTTTTTGTTGGAAGTTGCTCGAAATTCGCGCTCCGAACATTCACTCTCTTATTTCGATTTTCAACTTGTGTACTGTCTACCTACTAGTAATCTTAAGCGACTTGTATTATGAATATACGCGGCAAATGTTTAGCTTGTAGTTACTTCGAGAGTTTGTGACTAAGCTGGGCTCTTTCCTTTGTTAATTCTCGGTTGTTTTTAGCGCTTTTTGGGGTACCGAAGAACTACAAGATAGTGGCCGCCCCTCTGTTTGAGCTCTACGACAACTCTCAAGGATATGGACCGATCATTTCCTCCCTACCACAGGCGCTGTGCAGGTAATTCGTGTGAACACTATCGAAAACATTGCGTTTCAGTCATCAAATGGTGTTTTAGGTTCGAATTCATCTATATGTGATCTCAGAGACATGTCCCAGCAACACAACCAAGTCTCACGATGTAAAATAATTGGACATTATGAATCGTTGAATTTTAGGTATATTTTTTATTAAGTTAACCCCCTTAAATAATTATTTAAGTCGAGCGTACAGGTTAGTTTACCTATGTAGCTCGATCGGATAGTGAAACTAATAATGACAATTACAAATTGTTTTTTCTCTCGCAACTATAACAATGTAATGTTTGAGGACTTCTAGTTTCTAGGCATAAACAATTGTAGTATTTTCTCATGCTTTTTTTACGTGTGAAGAATGATAACTATTACCGGTAGGCGACAACCATTATTTTTTGTATGTCATGAAAAATACACTTGAGGTAACCATTAGTTGAGTTTCATCTTTTTTTGCCCGCAATCCACAGAAAATCAATTAATTGAATTGTATGGTGTGCGGTCAATAAACGTCCAAAGTGTATCTATCTCTGTCGAGATGCATGGATCCAGTAGGTTAAGAGTGCGATGGGCGTGAATGAGTTTAAGCGACGCCCTTTAAACACTATGTAATTACATTGAATTAATCTGTTGATTGGGTTTTGAGGCCCATTAACTTTTGAAACCAGCATTATTTGGGATGGGAAGTACTTTTGTGGTCCTAGTTTGACAAAACGGGTTAATTTTCGCAGTTTTTCGCTCTAAACTGCCGGTTTCTGCCTTCAAATTCATCACAGAATATCACGAAAAAGGTAAGTTCTGGGACATTAATCGTGATTAAACGAAAATTGACCATTTGACCAGGGATGAAAAGTAAAAAAATACCCAGCAAGTGCTCAAATCTATTGCAAAACTCAAGAGAAAATCCGAAACTATTCGCGGGTTCAACTACCGATGGTGGCGCTGCGCGACGTCAAATTACTATTTTTAATACTACTTAAAAAAAAGTGCCCAAATCCAACCGTCCGTGCGATGTTGTCACTGTTCAGCGGCATATTGCGATGCTGCCGCTGCATTATTGTGAGATGATTATTACCTGTTGATTTCCTGTGATCTTTCAAAATTTCCGAGTGTAGTTCTGAGATTTTGCAATATTTGTGCTTCTGTCTTGTTTTCAAAGAACAAAAAACGGATTTAGCTTGAAACAGTACTCGTAAAACCCGCATTTTCATTTTTTTTAAACTTTCTACACTTACATCCAGTAATAGTAATGACCAATAAAATTAATTTTAATTGATCAACAATGAAACAAAGATAGTTTTTTAAACTTCGCTCACACCGTACTATATCAGTAATATCTGATTCAACAAAAGTAAATCGGGAACGAAGGCTCAAGCTGGCAACCACGCAATATGAAATTGTATCCATCACTACCTGCTAGGCCTGGGTAGCAAATTTTGTTATTTTTTGCTAAAAAGACTCCATTGTTGTCAGAACAGATAAATAATCAGACAATAAGGGTTTTTTGCGTTTTCGATTAAAAACTTCGTTTTGTGATTGGTTTTGGAGAAAACGAGAGGAATTTATTTTCGTTTTTGTCTCGAATTCGACACTGAAAAAAGATTTATGTAAAATTTTTACAAAGCTATACGTTTATAACTACTCTACTTTCTCTCTACAAAACAGACAGGGGGTTTTTGAGTAGAAAGTAAAGCAAAAAAAATTATAAAAAAACACATTCTTTTTAAGAAACTCAACAATGTTCAGAGGAATGGAGGTGATGAGATTTCCAAATAATCTGCTATCAACGTTCGGTTATTCTGTTCCTTTTTTGATAGAAAATTTTTCGATTTTTGTTCCAAATTCGACGCTGGAAAGAAATTTCAAAACTTTTTACAAAGCGACCAAGGATTCGAAATTTATTTCATAATTTTTCTCGGAAAATACCCAATATAATATAAAAAAAGTTTGTCAGCATTTTTAAAAAACTTTAGAAAATTGAGCATTTCGAAGGAAGAAAAGACCCTTAAAATAAATCTAACAACAAGTAAAAAAAGGTCTACAACATTTCCCAGCAACGAAACTGAGTTACTGCGCCGGTGCGTTGTGTTGGCGCTCCAAGCCATTAGCGTAGCACTGCGCCAACTTCTAAAAATTCACTGAGTTACCCAGGCCTACTACCTGCTCCGAAACAATGACGTCACTGCCAAATAGCTTGGGACTATAGACTATAATTCGCTTGAAACCCCCTGCGTCCTTAAATATGGAAAATCTGGATCAAAGCGGGCATTAAAAGGCAAAATATTGCCGAAACCCTTGTTCTCCCGATATGAAAATGCGGAAAAAACCCAATCAAAAAGCGGGATATTAATGGAAACGCCACAACCATTGACGGCTTGCGGCCGTCTTGGAAAGGCCATTATCAATTCAGTTGAAGTTCTGTTGTCCAGTTTTTAATGGATTTTTAGACTTGAAGTGCGCCCATTGGTCGACTGGATGGGTTCGTGGTGTTTGGTGACATGAATCAAAGCAACAAATTCGTCCTTCCTTTTCGCGCATGCATTCTGTGGATGGGGCGTATCGGCCTCTCACTCGCTCTATGCGGAATTTCCAAGTCGGTTTTCAGTAGTTTTCAGCGCTCCGATGTCAGCGCTTCAGCCACGGCTGGATGAGGACCGACGTCTTCTGGATATCTCGCGAACTTGCCGACACTCCCACTTTGCGTCTTTGTGAGTCTGTTAGATAAGATAATCGCGCGTTCTGAAGGTTACCTCCAGTTTCCAGAGGGATTTTCCTCCATCTACTGACTGGTGGTGTGATGGCTCAGTGACTTGGGTGTTACGTAACTTGCACTACTGACAATGTAAATGGCCCTTTGTTTGTTTGCGGGAGAGTTTTTTCTGGAATCATTATCGGGAGGTCCTCCAGAGGCGTCAGCTCGTCAAATTTTAGCCACAATGCACGCTTTTCAAACCTAAATTCTGGCATCCGCAGCTTTTTTGAGCTTGACTTTGAGTTTTTCAGGCCTTATTGCGCCACTCTGTAAACAGCGGTGTCCAAAACTCACTAGTTCCACACATTCACAATCATTGAACGTTTTCATTTACCCTGGTAAACCGCAGAGAGCGACAAGGACTTGTGAGTTTCCATGGAAACCGCTAGGTTCTTCTCGGTCTGGACCGCATAAATGCCCCGCTTGTACTAAGCCAGGCGTTTACGAGGGTCAATCGTTGAAAATCTACTCAATTCTAGAATGAACTGGAGGCGGTGAAGTGAAGACAATTCGCGATGAAGTTGACAATGTTTGCGCTCAACCTTTTGGTGGTTTCGGTGGTGAGTGGTGGGCCTGCTTGGAAGGAGGTGCAACGGGGCGGCGGGCTGAAAATCGGCGAAAAAGGAGGTGGGTGCAACTTGGAGGACTAGAGGGGAATTTTGCAACGTTGTCCTGTTTTGTCGGTTGCAGGTCGCAACGCGTCCTCCTTGCGAGGCAACGGCATTAAAATAGGGAGCGGGGGCCGCGGATTGAGGTCCACGACCACCACAACCACCAGTGTTCCGGAGGAGGAGTTCATCCATCCCCCAACTTCTCCATCGGACCGCAATGGCGGCATCAAACACTTGAATATCGGGATAGTGTTGCCGTACAAGTCGTTCGGGGTGCGCGACTACACTAAAGCGATCACCACCACCAAGAGTCTGATTGCTCGCAAGCTGAAACTATTCAAATCGCATGATATTCAAGTGCACATTGTGATGAAGGCTCTCACTCCCAGTCCAACCGGTGAGTTTCACTAAAATTCATCTGGGCCACCTTTTCACTATGCGGCTCACTGCTTGGCCAGTGCTTTTGAGGTTGGAGACCACAGCTTGGTTTGCTTACTGAAGGCTCTCATCATTTGTTCCGCTTTCCATTGTTTCAATTTACTCAAATCATTTGACTTGAGAAGAAAAAAAAAGGACCTCGGCTGAGTTTTCGTTATTTGGGTTTTCTGCCCTATGGGGCAACACTGCCCAAAAGCCAGTGTTCTCCGTGCAGTGGCTTGAAATGTTGAAAGTGCTGGTCAAGCAGTGGGACAGTCAGTGGAAAGCTGAACAAAAAAATTATTTGCAATTTAATGGGTGTTTTATTGCCTGGAAATTTTCTCCAAGTCTCCAATAAAAATGATTATTTTGTGGGAATAAAATCCCGGAGGTTTTTCAACAGTTGACGATGGTTATTTCGTCCGATTTCCTTGAGCCCCCAAATTACGGCCGGCCTATTTTCGATCGCAGATACATATTTATGAGGCTGAATGGAGCTATCGGAGCTCGAAATTGCCTTTGTAGGACTTATTGTTCATTACTTTTATCGGCATTTTGAAGACTTTTGGGGAGCAATTTCGGGAAATTATTATGTGATTAGTTGCAGCGGTTTTTTATGCGTAAAACCCTCTCAGGGGGTTGAGTTAAGGGCGCCCCGTTCCCTATAATGGCAGTTAACTGGCCGACCGTCCGCAACAGATATTAAATTCCTTTGCCCAGTAGTAATGCCAATTATTTCCCGTTAATTATCATGACTATTTGGACGATTTAACAGCGCATTAAATTTAGCTGCAAAGTTCCAAAATTTGACGTGTTCAGGTGTAGGCGTTTGACAGTTGGGAGTTAGTTATTTACTGTCAAAAGAACCAAGTGTTTTTGAGAGTTTTTTCCGTTTAGGGGGTGCGCAGAAACACACTTTGACACGGATGAGTCTCTCAGGTAGTTAATAGTGACGTTTGGGTTTCAACTTGTCAAACTTTGACGGTTTCAGCTGCGTGGTTTGGCAGTTGGAAGCTCTTCAACGTCAAATGTGCGATTCGCATTCATCTTTGCGTTTCAGTTTCGAAAATTAAAGGAAAATCATTCTTGACGCTTCACATGAATAAATCTCTCGACTAATTGACGTTGACGTTTGGCCTACAATTTTGACGGCTTTCGTTGCATATCATTTTCGTAACTGGAAGCGATGCACTGTCAAACGCCTTTGGAATTTTGCTTTTATTGCACTTTTAGTCGGTTTTCCAACAACCAAAACAAACTATGCAACACTGCAGTTTGCAATTTCGCTTGGTGGAAGGGCACGAAATGTGCCACCGCATGTTTCAATGTTTGTCCTCTGTTCGAATTGGGCCGATTTTGGATGAAAAGCGCCCAAACACACACAAAACATGTCCATTTTGCGAAAGGACAGTCGATTAGTTGACATCAAACCCTGGTCCGGATGAGGTGGCTGAAAGCCTTTCGCACCCTTTCCGTGTACTTATTTATTTCTCTTCCTGCCACTTTCGCGCTTAAGTTGTGGCTTGACCTCTTTCAAGCGATTGGGTTTCGTTTGGTAGCCGGTCCAAAGGCTAAGCCGTTGTGACAGATGTTGTGGTGTAAACGCGCTCATTTTGACAGGGGGGCCACCAAGCAATAATGCGCAACTGGACACAAATTTGCGCTTTGAAGTCTGAAGTTTAGGTTAAATGCATCTTCAGTGGGTTTGTTCCGTTCGGCCGGCGCGATTTTACGATAATAACATATCGAAGCAGGCAAAGTGGTTAAGGAAAATGCGGAAAGCTGGCAGGTGTATTAAAAGCCCCCAGAGCCCTGAGGTCCATTTTCCCCATTCCGTTTCACTGTAAGCGCCCGGTCAGTAATGGAGACTAATTGGGCAAATTGGCTGAATTAAAATGAAAAATTCGCTTTAGAGGGCCGCCCGTTCTCGTTCGGTGTGGGATCTTTTAGAATTTTTCCGCGCTAAAACTGAACGCGACAAATCAACTGAAATTATAACTTTCCAGTGAAAAAGTCAGATTTTCGCCCCCTCGACGGCCGGATTTCAGTGTGAATCTTAATGAAAAATCTCACCCTTTCGCAGCAACACTAAACACTAACTAGTTTATAAAGTTAAACTTAATCAGGCATTGTCTATTTCACATGCAGAGCTTTGAGGAGCCTTAATTGAAGCTGATCTAGACGCGGCTGACTAGATGAGATAATGGTGTAAATGACGGAAATTCGACACTTAAATGATTGGTTATCTTAAGTCGGCCTCAGGGGGGCAAAATAATTCCTCCGCTAATCACGCTTATAGGAATTCTCCTGATTGATTTCTAATGAGGAGTTTAAAGCTTACTTCCCGTGAATTTCCGATCGTTGCCCCATCGAGTTCCCTTACCTCAAGGGCCGAAAAGCAGATGTTTTATTGCGAAAAAAAGGGACCCACTTATCGAAATTGTGTATCGGCTCGAGTAAACTCAGAAATAACATTGGGCGAAGGGCTCGCATTGAGCAAACCGGCAAAACGCGCTGAGACCCGGCTGCAAAAGCCCCATTTGCAAATAAGGTTTAGTTCCGTTCGCGTTCAAACAAGAAGGGCTTGATTAAGGAAAAGAACATTCATCGCTTCAACCATAACGCATCATTTGCATTTATTTCCTTGCCGTTCGGATTCAATCCGAAAGATTCATCAATTTCCATTCCAGATCTAATTCAATTTCCCGATTATTTATCGCGTGGGGCTCGATTGATGAACTTTCGCCTCTTGTTCACATCAATAACATTTATATCGATATTTCATGAAGTCGAGCTTGAAACTTGCCATTGCTTTCGGATAATGGAAAAATTTAAGATTCGCCCGTTTTCAGTTGCGTGCTATTTCCAGTTGTTCTATTCGGGAAACGGTTGAAAATATCGATCTAGTGGTGACAGTTTTCTTAGTTCGGCTCAAGCGCTGTTTTTCCCTAATTGGGTTTTATCCGAAATGTCTAACCTTTAAAGGGTTAGGAGCCAAAATGTGAATATGAATCCGACTGTTCAGCAGAACCTTTTTGATAGAGCGCCTCAAAAGCTGTCTTTAACATTTAAGTTTTGTTTATAAGTTCTTAAAGAGATAGAAGTGAACTTGGCATTTTGCGCCCCCGCAAAATCTCCTAGAATTAGTAAAAGGGAAACAGAAAATACTGAGTAGCAGACGAATTAGTAAAGAGAAAATTCAATTTAAAGACAACGTCGCATAAATTTCCCAGCTCGTCGCTCTGGATCAATTTCATTGTGGCCCTTATCCAGTTTCCACCAGCACATTAGTTTGGGGTCAGCACATCGGGCTTAGGTGCATTTTTAACTCAACTCAAGTGTTTTTTAATTTTTTTTGGACAAAATCACTTGTGACAACGTTTGGCTCACCCTGTATAAGGCGCCGAAAACTGTCGACTAACTAATTTGCAGAAAATAGCGCAAAACTGATTAAAAAGAAAATAAAAAACGCCCGAAATAAACGGTGAAACATTGAGCACTTTCACTCAAACAAATCCAGTTCAGTGGGTCAAACCGGCCCGAGCCGATGTCGAAGAGCACGTTTTCCCTAAAATCTCGCTAATTAATCGACAGGACGACAACATTGTGCTGTGCCGTCAGGCCAAACGCCATCCAGCGTTGTGTTCCAGATCCTGAGCCTTGAGCGCGGTTTCCCGGGCAACCGGACACCTATCTCCCTCTTATCCACGCGGATCGCTATCGCCATCACCCTCTCGCCATCAGCTGGGGCGGTGGCTGCATGTCTATCCCCAAGAAACAACATTGCCCCACGTTAGGGGCGCGCTGTTTTGCTCGTTAAACGGAAAAATCGCGTGAGTTCTCCCTTGTTTAGTGTCGCGAAAAAAATACCCAACTATCCAGTGTCCAGGCGGACGATCGGCCTGATCCAGACTCTGGATCAGGCAGGAAAGTTTGCGGTTAGGATTCCGCGGAGTGATTGTAAGGTTCTTGTCGAAGACGTGGGATGTGCGGAATGGCCGATGACAATATACAATAAAATTTACCTCCGATAGTCGATAATCGATCGGTTTTTGCGCAACTCTTGGCAACAAGTGCTCAAGGGGGCAAGTTTCCTCATGTGCACTCCATGGCGCTCTTGACTGCTCATTTTTTATACTGATGTCAACAATCATTGCATGAGTTCTATCACAGAGAAGTGATCAACTTTACTTTATAACCTCACTTCGCAACATCAGTTTTCGTTTTTTTCAAGAATGTGCATGTTTAAGGAGAGTTTTCGGATGAGAACAGTAGAGGAGGTTTTGACAGGGAGTTTCTTCTAAAGTTGAAAAATGAATGGGTTGTTTCCATCAAACTCTACGAGTACCTACTGAATTTGCTTCATTTGCGTGTAATTAACTATTGACCATGTTTTGAAGAGTACACTTGAACAACTAACCCCAAAAAACCGATTTCAAATCGCCCTTGTTCACTGCCAAAGCCGCCCCACGTCTTCAAACCTTCCAATGCCGCTAATCTATTTGTCTTCAAGCGTCTTCCAACCCATTGAGAGCATGAAAAACCATGTTATCCAAAGAATCGAATCGCCACTGCTTCGCGTCTCTTCCGAGCAATGAAACCGCCTTTATTCGCGCTGTTGTCGCTTTGCTCGCTGGCAGCCAGCGGCGCGCTGAAGGAGCACAGCAGGACGTTTCACGGTTCCTTCCGGGGCCATCATCGGAACCATGGGAGGGTGCCGCAGCCCGGGTCAGAACCGTTAAATATCGGGCTGATTTTGCCCCATACGAATTTTGGGGTGCGCGGATACACGCGTGCCATTAACAATGCAGTGGCGGGGCTGCACAGGGGCAAAGGCCGCCTGTTGCGATGGGTGCCCATCAGGAATTTCACGCAGAACAATGTGTCGAGGATTTTGTTCCCTTTGACTCCCAGTCCAACAGGTGAGCGTGAAGCGATTGTGGATGGGTATGGAAACATGCGATCTTTTCGGGTTTTGAG